CCCCCCCTACCCTTCTAGCTCCCGACACTGCGGCAAAATTACTCAAAAGATCCGGAGAAGGTAGTATCTGTCCTAGATTACCCTCATATTCTACATGAAATACCTGGAACAGCTTCTAATTCTCCCTGGATCTTCACCTATTCAGCTGGCAACTTTTCCATCCACTACAATCTTCCGTTTTCCTGCATCTACATCATCCTGTACATTCGGGCTAGTGAATTAGTCTCGTGATTTTTTTGCTATTACTTCAGTAAATCTTCGGTACTGCTTAAATCCTAGACCCACACATCTGTTTTCTGTCATTTTTGCCACATGAACAGGCCAGTTTTTATTCTTCTTAGCATACAAGTTTTATTGTTTTTAATACCCGGACATAATTTCAACTCATCATTGGCTGTACTGCAACATGCTGGTACCTAATAATGTTTCTTCATTATGCGTTTTATGCCGTGTCACAGCTGCACAAAACACGTATTGTCATGGAACTGCCTGTGTGTGTGTGTGTGTTTTGTATGTGTACGTATGAACGTGTATGTGCATATATGTGTGTATGTACATGTACGTATGTATGTGCATGTATGCATGTATGTGTGTCTGTGTCTGATGAATCTTGTTAATCATTGTGTAATATCTTTGCGATACTTATCATATCCGATATATCTGTGGCAGATACAAAGGGGTTAAGATGCTTTTTCAGTCTTTCAGACCTCTCTTCCCCTACGCCTTCGATGGTTTCCAAAATCGGTAATTTTGAGAATTCTTGAAAATATTTTTCAGAAAGCCTTACCTGCATGCCACAGTACCTTTTCCCTTGATATGCCAGCAACAGGGCATATGAATGCTCCTTTTTCCTTCGTTTTTTCTTTGGTTCACCTGCATTACACAGCAAATAATAAAACGAATGATATTCATAGCGCCCTACGCATATTTCCAGTTTTAGCCGGATTGAAGGGCCTAGCAATCTGAAGTTTTTCTTGTGCGAATAATTTCAACATCAGTGAAGCAAGCACTGTTTGTCATTGCACTTCCATCGTTTAATGGACCGAAACGTTTTACTTAATATTTTTCATAGCCTCTTAACCTCCTCCGCTTCCTTGTTTTCATTTTCCCCCGTCTATATTTGGCTTTGCCTTAACCTGTGTACATATAAGTCATTTAAAAAAAACCACTGAAAACTGACCAGCGTCCACGCTTGTATCAGGTCCTAGTACGGAGGGAGCTGCAGCATTAGGATCCATCAACAGTTTCGTCACTTCGCTTGTCTTCTTCAAAATGTCCCGTACAAAATTACTGACATTTCTTAACATCTAAACCTGAAAAGAAAATTCCGACTGGGCAAATTGCCAAATCTGATTACCCATCCGGATTTGAATAACGAGCGTAACAAATACCGACCAAATCGTGGAAGAATTCGCTTGAACGGCTGTATGGAATTATGTGGATGAGAAAGAAATTCAAAAACAGAGAGAACGGAAAATTGCCAGCTGCATCAGTGGGTGTTTCCTAGCAGTTCTGGCAGCCAGTCTTAATTTGTTTAG